AATTAAGTATTCTGTTAGAACTCAATGATTATCCTAATTATATACTAGATTTTTTATATTTAAAATAAGATGTTTATCTTGTATTTGATTATGTTTATCTGCATTTAGTTACACGAATTCGGATATGGAGTTTTAATAAGTTGTACTTATGCACAATCTATTTGTAATCTTGAGTTGTAAGTAATATGCATTAATAAACATTACTTTACATATAAAAAGTGGTTTTTAAGAGTTTTTGTCAAATGCTTTATAATATAGCATAAATGTGTGTGTGTTTGTATATATATAGAGAGAGGGAGGGGGGGGGGAGAAGATAATCAAATGAGAACCATAAAAAAGTTTAAAAACTTTGAAAACCAATCTCAATCACCAAAATATTTTAATATAACAACCTTAATTAATTTCTCATTGGATAAGATGATAATTTTTTCTTTTCTTGATTATGTTTTACTTCCTTTTTTATAGATATGTTCTAATTCAATTTTATGCGATATAATTTATATGTAATAATAAAATATTTTAATTTTTATTAATTGATAATAATCTTTTTATATTTTATTAATTTATTATATTATTAATTAAACCACTCGTTTATTTTCTCACATATTTACTGGTAACGTGTAGAAAAACATACATTTTTTAAATATAAATTTGACTATTTTGAATAATAAAAACTTCACATGAGAACACAAAAAATAGTAGATATAAATTTTTCTTAATTAAAACATTACCTGAAAACACTGAAGTTTTATTTCACGCAATAAAATAATACAATATCGTTAAAGTGAAACAAATTTAGTGTTATTTGACAATGTGAAAACAAAACAAAGCTGAAATGAAATGTGATGTGAAAGTAAAAGTGAAACAACTTAATGTCGCTAATATTAAACAACAAATTGTTGTTTCAAAGGATAAAATAAGTGAGAATAATGATTCTTACACAGTAAGTGGTTTCCCAGTCTGTATTGATAAATAACCCCTAAATTTTGCAAGCTGTAAATTACAGCTATTTACGTTTTAAATTGGATAAAAATCTCGTATTTAGTAAAGTGATACAACAGATGACTACCTGAGTCCACCGGATGATAAAAAAAAACCTAAATCGGGACAACAAACATTTAGCAACTCGAATATCCATCGTTCAATAATTGTTGTGTGTTACGAAACAATAAACAAGTGGCCAAGTACAAGAAAAGGCAGTAGGGGAAGTACAATACTTAATGATTGGATAACGAGTCGTTGTTTAGGTATCAGAGAAAAAGATTGATTAAAAAGCTTATTACATCTGATATAACTCATCGTCACAGAAGATAAAAGGATTGATTCTGATAGAATGGAAACAACGTTACAGAAAATCGAGTCCCGTGGATAAAACTGATTTTTAATGAAAATATAACGAGGGGTGGAATGATGTTCCATATGAAAAATACCAGAATTCTAGTATGGTATATCAAATATATTCAACTATAATATGCATCGTTGATCATAAAATCAGTGTTTTAACTAGCAGATAAAAGATTAGTAAACAATCACTGATAAAATATATAAACAGTTTTAAATTTTTTTAATTTAATTAAATTTATAAGATGAGACATAGACATCAAGGAGTGATGCTAGGTGCAATGGGATACCTTGCTTCTAATTAGTGACATTGCAACCCACTTTTAGTGTACCCAAAGACAATCTTAAAACCCCCTATTCATGTGATCCCATTTTTAAGTCAAAAAAGGTTTTCAACTTCCATGAATCATGTGATTTGGTGCTTTGTAAATCTTTCACATCCCAATAACTTTGCTTCATTCAATTATTCAACAAAATTAAATCACATAGAAAATGTAAATAAAAAAGGTTTAATAAGGGGATGTTTAATAAACACTTACTTGGTAAGTACTTACCGGATAAATTTCTTCATCGGATGAACATGAGAAGAGTCGAGAATCTTACCGGGTAAGAGCGATGAGAATGATGGAGAGTCTTACCCAAGTAAGCGCTTACCCACTAAATTGTTGCATTCGATATGTTTTGATTTACTACAATTTTACGCATCAAAATAAATCATAGTGTTGACTCATATCGGTAAGCGCTTACCGGGTAAGCAATTGGGTAAACGGCCCCTAAGTTTTCATAAACACCCATAATAAAAGACTGGAATTAAAATGTTTTTTATTTCAAAGAACCAAATTCATGAGACGTTTGGTTCAGACAAAGGAATAAAAATGGATGTGAAAATGAAAATGACAAGGAATGAAAATGGAAATAAATTTCATCCCCCACCCCCCCAAATTTAACTTGAAATGAAAAAAAAAATGAGTTCATTGGAGAATGAACTCATTATATCATAAAAAACCAAACATGTTCTTTTATTTTCATCCTTTTTAGTTATTGATTAATACTTTTTACCAAACAACCCCCAGTTTGGCAAAATCTTGTGGGATTAACTCAACTGACAATAAGTCTTGCGCTTTTAGGTATTCTTCTTAGATTTTACCGGTTTGAGTCCTACAAAACCACTGGGAATTTTCCTAACTATTCACCAAGGTCTCTAGGATTAGTCGAGGTGTGTGCAAACTGGTTCGGACACCCATAATTAACAAAAAGAAAAGTTTTTATCTATCGTGTTTTTTGCACATTTATGATAGTTCATTGGACCAAACTCAAGTATGAATTGTCTCGAGACTTGTAGGTGAATTCGAGTTGGCAATTTGGACAAAAGCGGTCGAGTAGGGTTAGGTTTTGCTTATCATTTTAATCACTTTATTATAGTTAACTATTCAAATCTAATTTGTTAACACCACAATAATCATCTTAAAAAAGGTACATACCCTCAAAAAGTAATCAACAAATCATAGATACGACGCGACATAATTTACATAAGAAATTATGACCTTTTTAATGTGATTGATTTGTATTTATGCTCTCGTTACGCTTTAATATTATTGAAACATTATTATAAGGCCGGCCTGTGGACTTAGCAACATGACAAGTGACTAGGACAACGTTATGGGGACTCCGTTGGTACCATTTTTGGTTTTCTAGCATTTGGATTGTTTCTGTTACATATATGGAACACCCCCTAAATGGATTTAACGTGGGTTCTAACAAAGAAAGGGACGACTACTAGTAACTACTATGGACAGTATCACTCGATAATAATTGCATTTAACAGTTCACTCCGTTGAAAACGGTACAAAAAAAGAAATAAAGCTTGTGTACATTTTCCGTAAATAATCTACTAGCAGAAGAATTTTATAAATCTTAATCTGTGAAGCCGTCGGGCGTATAACATAATGGCAAAAGGAACGGAACGACTTTGCTTAAATACAAAACATGTTCAAGTTCCATTCTTGCGGGAGACGCTTTTGAGACCATCGACTCTGAATCAACTGTAAAATGCCTCCTCGCATGTGGGAGTGGTCGGGGTTGTCGGTAATCAATTTTTTTGGTCAAATCTTGATTTGTGAATTACTACTGATTTTTATTACGGTTTTAATTATTTCAATGATTATTAAGTCAATATGCTATTATGAATTTTTGAGTTGTACATTATATAGGGGTGACAGTTTTGTATCAAACCAAACCAAACCAAACAACATGTATACCAACCATAGCATTAAGTCGGTACCGGTTTAATTTGTACCAATTCCATTCGGTTTGTAGTACCATACCAGGTATGCAAACTTGGTTGGTACACAGTATTGCAAGTCAAGTATCATAGTAATATCATGATACTGATTTATTTAATTAGTTATTAGGTTTTTGTTTGAACATTGAATGTTTGCAAGTTTTTATTTTTTGTTTTAAAAACCATTAAACATCGTAAATGTTACATGAAGACTCAAAACGTTATTCAAAATTTAAAAAAAAATGACAAAATTTCATATATATAATTTGAAGGTACAAAACCAGTACCAACCCAGAAATATTAATATCAGTTAAATTAATATGAAATATAATTTTGATTAATATATAGTATAGGATTTTACATACCAATTATTACAGAAAAACCCTTATATCGAACCAATTCCACCAACATCTAGGGCTGTAAACGAACCGAACGAAAGCTTGTTTGTATTTGTTCGTTTAACTTACCGAACAAACGAACGAACACGAACGGTAAACGAACAAAAATCTTTGTGTTCGTGTTCGTTCGTTTAGAAATCAGGTGTGTTCGTGTTCGTTTATGTTCGTTCGTTAACATGTAAAACGAACTAACATAAACGATCATAAACGAATATTATTTGAATTCAAGTAAATAAACAAAAGATTATATATTAAATTTAATACATAAGCGAACATAAACGAACAAATATAAACAAACGTAAACGAACGGTAAATGAACGAATGTTCACGAACATAAATGAACGAATGAGACTCTTGTTCATGTTCGTTCGTTTAACTAAACGAACAAAAAATTTGTTCATGTCCGTTCATTTATTAAATAAACGAACATAAACGAACTTCCCGTCAAACGATTCACGAACGGTTTGCTGAACGTTCGGTTCGTTTACAGCCCTACCCACATCCATATTGTATATGTATGGGCCCAAGTTGATAGCCCATGATTTAATATAGGCCGAAGCATTATTAAGGAGTCAGTACATTTTGACTTTTGAAAGTCCAAATTTTAGCCCATTATGTGTACGGGGAAGAATCCATGTTGAACCGCCATTAAACCTCTGAATAATCTTCCATGCCTTTGAAACCATCAGGCCGCCATTATCGTCAACCTCCGAAGCTCTTCCGAACTACCAGATATCAGAAATGGAGAATAAAGATAAGATCAAAATCGCATTTACAATCTCTTGTCTGGCTGTGGTTTCTATCGTACTTGCGAACAAAATTCGTAAACATAGAAAACGAAAACAGAACATAAGCTCTTGTTACTTGAAATCAGAAGCAAAACCGCAACAAAATTTTAAGCGTGTTCTGGCCAGCAATTCCTACGCTCCGTTCAAGCACCTCAAGCTCGACGGTAACGTTTTCGTAAATCAATTACTGTTAATAGGAATGTTGATATAACTACAAACCCTAGCTGGAGTTGGTGGATGTTTTATTTGAATTTGATCTCTATGGTGTATCTGGATGATGACATTGAGAGTTTCCTCTTGCACGTTCTGCAACGACTAATTTCAATGACTTAAATTCGTTACGACAGTTTTTAATGGTCACTCATTTTGACATGTCTAGTTGTTTATGGGGATGTTTTGATGGTGTTTCAATTGAAGGTTAACTTTTGATAAATAACAGACAGTTCTTCGGATTTGCATCCTTATGAGTCGGAGATCAAAGCTTTGTTGGAGAAACCCCAGCTAGAATTTGAATTCTGTAATGCGATTATGGATATGGACATGAGTGATACGTATGTATGGGTTGATGATGAATCAAAGTTAGAAGAACTTGTTGAAGTTTTGAGTAAAGAAAGAGTATTTGCTGTGGATACTGAACAACATAGCTTACGGTCTTTCTTAGGGTTTACAGCTCTTATCCAGGTGGGGTATATTTCTCTTTTTTTAATGAGTGTTGGTATGGGCAATGTCGAGGATATGCATGTTTTTAATGCTCCGTGTTTATGTTCTTAGATCTCTACAAGAAAGGAAGATTATTTGGTGGACACCATAGCTCTTCATGACATCATGGGAATACTTTGCCCTGTATTTGCCAATCCCAATATATGCAAGGTGCTTACTTGTTTTGTACTTCAGTTTTTTCTTCACTGATTGGATCGTACACCAGGATTGGCTACTTGGGTATGCAATAGGAGTTTCTTGTTTTTAAATGTTCAACATTTAGATGGAGCAGCACTAAGTAATAGAATGTGGGTATCAAGGAATGTGGATGTTGAATTTGTTTTGGCAATAGATTGTCCGAAAGTCTTACTCCTTCCATTTCAAGGAAGAGATACATCCACATTTACTCTGAATCTAACTTCATACTCTTCAAAACAAAATTCAAACAAACATTGTTACTAATTTATCCTCTAAAATTTCAGCTTGTATTATTTGTCACATGGTTTGTTATCAACTTTTTGCAAAAAGTTCATAATGCACTATAGTTTTGAAGTTCAGAAGTTACTAGTTTGAATTGAAGTAGTACAAATATGTGTCCTTTTTATTTTCTCTCTTCATTTAGTTTTTATATGTCCTCTGACTTCATGTTCTGTGTTATAACGCCTGGTGGTGTGCTTGTCTAGGTGTTCCATGGTGCTGATAACGATATTATATGGCTACAGAGGGATTTTCATATTTATGTTGTAAACTTATTTGACACTGCAAAGGTGAGGTTTAGTATTATTGAATCTTTCTTGGGCTCTCATCTTCCTCTTTAGACAATGCCATGTGTCTCAGGAAAGACAGTTTGTAGTTTCTGTCTGTTAATTTGATATTGAGTATATGTTTGTTCGACTTTTGATCAGCTAGTGACATGAGAGAGGTTCAGTCTACTTATAACTACGTATAATATCTGAAGAAGACAGTTGATTGAATAATTTGCAGGCTTGTGATGTGTTATCTAAACCACAGAGATCGTTGGCCTACTTACTGGAAACATATTGCGGTGTGACCACTAACAAACTCTATCAGGTACAATATTTAGTCTTTCTGTTAGACATTTTTTGCTCTGCATACAGTATATGGTCACTTACCAGTTACCAATAATTGTCATCACCTAAAAGGCCAAAACCAATGCCAAAAAGTGTAATGTCAGTGCTATACCTCAATAGCTTGATGCAATAAGTTTTTATGGATCTTGTGTACACACGTGTTCTTTATTGGCAATACATGGAAATGTAGCGTGAAGATTGGCGACAACGTCCGCTGCCAACAGATATGGTTGAATATGCTCGTATGGATGCACACTATTTACTCTATATTGCAGATTGTCTTGTTGCTGAGCTGAAACGCCAGAAAAATGGTGCGTCCTCTGTCTCTCTCCCCTCTCTTTCTCTCTCAACATATAACTGATGGGCTTTTTCCTGGTGCTTCTTTCGCCTATATACAAATAAACAAGTTTTATGGCATGCACTATCCATCACAATACATTTTTATAGATTTCATTCGTTCTGCCTCCACTAGTTGTAAGTGTATGGCTTGTTTGCTGTTTCTGTAGAAATGAAATATTAAAAAACCTGGACGTTTGACATGGATATTGGGTATGACCACGGTTATCCCAGTCAACTCCCATATTTCTTTCCTCACAAATTACGTTGAGGAAATAAATGCATGATATGTTTATGAGGAGAGAAACAAACGATCATTCCATATCATGTATTGTGTATATAAGTTAGCTCAGGCACAACTGATTAAGATTTTTGCTTACTTTATTAATTTTTGAGGAAAGAAATACATGATATGGTTTTCATCGTTAATAGTGGGATCATCATCATTATATTGAGTACTTCCATCAATTATATGGCGGAAGAGTAAATACTTCAACTAAAGTTAAGGTAATTCACACTAAAAGAAACTAGTTAATAACAAATGAAATTGAAGTTAAAGATCAACAGATTAGCATGCATAATTTTGTTATTGTTTTCTCATGGGGACATATATGATCCCGGTGGCCTTTTCTTACTCTTGTGGGTAGTAGTGGTACCAATAACATAAAAGGGGAGAAAATCCTATGCTCTATTTCTGTGTTTTATTTTGTCATATAAAAATAGGATTAGGTGATAGTAATCACTTTCTTGAGAAGAGAACTTGATAGCATTAGGCGACAGCAATCACATTACAGAGAAGAAAACTTCAGTCACCTGGGTTTGGAACGTGAGTTCTGAGTTCCTATTGCTGTTTATCCTCCGTATATGGCCTCCTCTTGGAGGATGTCATTGTGGACTTCCTTTGACTTGGCAAACTATTCTTTGCGTCATAATTGTCTCCCATGTCTCCTTTGTTATCGTTACTTAAATTTGCAACATGATCGTCATTCACATACCATTGGTAGTTGAATACATCTCTATGAAAGAGTGTATGACCTCCAGTAGTATCAACCTGCACTGCACAAGTAATGGGATCTGTTTCTGGAGCACAAGTCCCAACTTCACTCCGAGTCTCCCTAGCGCATGGGGGGTATGGATCAACAAGTTTATTTTCTTGAACCAAAGTCAAATGAATATTTTTTCAATGATTCTTCCATATATACTGGGAGATGGAAGTCTTTATTGATATGAGTATGTCTAAATGGTTGTCCATCCATTGTGTAAAGAACCTCTCGTTTGCGATCATACTATAGCTTGCTGATTTCAAGCGCTTCAAATAAAAATTTCTGGTAGTTGCAATATATTACATTATTATCTATCGGTATCGATGAGCCCTCGGTATCCTAGAAAATCCAATAATTACCATCCTTTTCTCAAACACCAATGTAAGAAACAAACACATTGACCTTTGAACCTGGATGCAAGAGAATAATGTAAAAAACAGGACTTGAAAATGCAAATATCATAGTTAATTGAGCCTTCATTGAACAACATTGAGCAGAAGTTTGAATAAACATCTATTGAATTACTACCGAAACAAATTGTGCATACAATAAGAAAACATACAATTAACAGGTAAACTGCTTGATGCAACCCAAAGGGCATCAATCATCATTTAAATTCATCAGACAATTTCATTCACTAAATTCGATATACATATATAGAACTATGTCGAGCTCCTATCAAGCATTGTGTTCAACCAAAGAAAACTACATATCGAGCCTTGCCGAGCATAACACATCTCAGAAAATCCAGATAAATGCCGAACCAAGAAAATCGAAAAAACCCAATAAAACACACAAAGACATCAGGATCTACTTGAAATATCATAGCAAATATCTTGAACTCGATTTTGGGTTCTTATCTACAATAATACCCGATATTTTGAAGGTTTCTAGAAAATGTCCAATTTTCTTGCTTTTGGGTGGCAGCCATGGTTTTGGGATGTGGGAGAAGCTCTTGTGAATGAGATGAAAGAAGATGGAAATGGAGAGAGGGAGAGGGAGAGGGAAAGACAGAGAGAGAATGTGAGGGTATTTTGGGATTGATTTGGAAGAAGAAGTTAAGTATATTCTTCTGACAAGGTAATAGTGGAGCACTATTTGGATTTAGGGGTAAGCATAGAAACTCAAATTGCCCAAAGGTATATAGGCTTCCACCCGGGAAGAAATTAAATAAGTAAATAACTGAAGCCTGCATTTGAAGCTTTTGAACTGTCTTGAAATTAGAAGTCTTGGACTATCCGGATTTATTTCTAAATTTTATTAACAAAAGTTCTGCATCTATTCATGTTGTACGACTCACTCATTTTTACCATCTGTGGAGGGTATTTTTCTGATCATTTCTTATCTGCTTCACCAGTGACATGCTATATTGCTTGATTGAGATGTTACGCTGGAGAAGAAGATAATAAAAGCATTTTTACTAACCAACTAATGTGTAAGAATGGCTGTCTTTTAACATTGCATCGCTGCTAGAGCAGTTTGACTTGGTACCAATTACATGATAAAACCCTTAGAGAATGTATGTCGTATTTTACTACCTTTCTTGTACTGTAGTTCTAAAGATAACAGTGCATCAGAAAATTCAGCCGGTCTTGAAGACAAATTCTATTTTGTTTTTGAGGCCAACCGGCGTTCCAATGCCTTGTGTCTGCAACTTTACACCAAAGAACTAGAAGCTTCCCCAGGGCAGTCTGCTGCATCTTCAATTATTTCCCGTCACTTGAATGATCATGGAAGTCCTACAAATAACAGTCAGGTACACTTTTTCGTGTGTCCATCTTGCTGTTTCTTGGCTGTCAAAGTATTTGTTGCTGATATCATCATCATGCAATGCTCTATAATTATGCAGTTTCAAGATCTTGTTAGACGTCTATGCTCTTGGAGGGATTTGATGGTAAACAACTTACTGTTGAACTTATCTACTTCTTTTACCGTTGGCTCAATTTCATGCATGTATCTTTTCAGGCCCGTATGCATGATGAGAGCCTTAAATATGTATTGTCCGATAATGCTGTTGTAGCTCTTGCTGAAAAAGTTCCATCAACTGCAACAGATATTTGCACTACAATATCACAAGCTGATATAGAGATGGACTCTGTCAGTTCTAACTCTTCCCCTCGGTTTCCATCCTCTGTTGTCTTAAGTCATTTGGATGACTTTCCTTACCTCCTTCAAGATGAGATAAACAATCTTGATGATATATTTCAACTAGTCCTTAAGAAGCACCTTGGTCCAAATGGTTCTTGTCCTTTTTCTCTTTATAATTATGGCCTATTGTCTAAAAGTAACACCAAAGCGTCAAAGAGATTAGTTTCAAAGAAAAATGGGTATAACTTTACAAAAAAAGTTACTCGGAAGGCTTCTCGAGAGCTTTTTGTCCAGAAGTTTTCCTGCAAATCTCCAGTCTATCACAACTGCAGGATATACGCCAACGATGGACGACTGTTATGTTACTGTGATCGAAGAAAGCTAGAATGGTTAGTACTATTGTTCTTCAATCAAACATAAGTTACATGACATCTCTCTCTCTCTCTCTGTTTGGAATCTTACATGACTGTTAAACTTGCAGGTATTTGCAGCGAGATCTGGCAAAACTCGTTGATGAAGACCCACCAGCCATTATGCTTCTCTTTGAACCCAAAGGTCGCCCAGAAGATGAAGGAAATGATTTTTATATTCAAAGTAAGAAAAACATATGTGTAGGCTGTGGTGAAGGAAATCATTATTTACGCTACCGCATCATCCCATCATGCTATAGAATACACTTCCCTGAACATTTGAAAAGCCATCGATCTCATGATATTGTTCTAGTTTGTGTGGATTGTCATGAAAAAGCACATTCTGCTGCTGAGAAGTACAAGAAGAAAGTAGCATCAGAATTTGGGATACCACTATTCGTACACAAAGTGGTTAATTCTAATGAAGAACATGATGTCTCTGGATCTTCCACATCTCTTATGAAACTTGGTGATGGAGGTGTGTCTCCTTTAGAGTTGCGAACCGCAGCAATGGCTCTCTTACGGCATGGACCAAGGATGCCACCTGGGCGCCGTGAGGAACTGAAAGAGGTATGAAGCACATTCCAAACCTTGGGATCTATAATCAGACACAGATTAATTGCTGCTAGAAATGAAAAAGAAACATACAATGTTTATATGGTTCAACACTTTGCCTATATCCACGGTAGTTGGTACATTTTTATTATAGTTTCTGAAAGTTGTCAATAGTACACTTCCTTCGAAGGAAGACTCATTTTATTTGTATGATGAAACCAGACAGAAAATGGATTGAAGTTAAGAAAAATGTTATCCTAACCGTCAAACCATCATGATCATTTTTCTATAAAGTTGGGTTCCCGAAATCGTGTTCCAGTTTACTTCCAAATCAGGCCTCACAGCTTAATGCTTATAATGTTTGTTAAGCTTCCCCAAGTATTTAACCTACTAGGCTACTTTCTATTGGATGGCATGAAGTTAATATCTGATCTTGAAATCATAGATTTAATCACTTAATGTAAGCAAATCTGGAACTTGACAATTAGTCTCTATATGCTAATTTGTTGCACTGCTAACATAAACTTAAAGAATGGTATGTTATTTACACAGTATGTTCATAGGCTACAGTTAAGGTACTTTGTAGCATTATGGGTGTGTTTGATACACAGAAGGAACTGGGGGGACTAAACAGGTGCGAGTGAGGTAGGCAGGTGAAAGAATTATGAAAGGTTTTAGGGTTTTAGTTTGACATATGTAGTTTTGTAATTTACCAAGCTTGTCTCATCTCCCTGATTTTTGTTCCACCTGTTTTGGTAGAACAAAAGATATGCATATTTGTCCCACTCGGTCCTGTTCAGTCCCGTTCAAATTGTTGCACCAAATGTGAGACAAGAAGTTTCTGGTCTGTCCTCTCCTATACTGTCCTGTGTACCAAACTGAACTTGAGCCTTCGCAAAGATGGGGCCTTATGCGAATTTATTGTGCAGGTTGTCAAGAAGTATTATGGAGGAAGAGATATATCCGAGGAAGACTTAGAAAATGCTTTACTGGTCGGAATGAGTCCTCATGAGAAAAGACGAATGAGGAAAAAGAGAGGTTTGTCTCTTAATAGTTCTTCAAGGAACTTTGTCTCAGACAAGGAAGTGGAGAGCAGTAATGGTGGTGTGCAACTTTCTTCCTCCAATAAGGCACTGAATATTGATATCGAAGATGGATCAGATGCATCTAAAGAAGAGCCAAACCTGGTTGCAACAGATAACATTAGCGACACCCCTTCTTTATATTCAGCATTTAGCAAAAATGAAATATACGAGCCTAAAAATGCTTCTATTTTGGATTTGAATGTTGATTCTGAAATTACAGATCCATCTGTCAAACAAAATGGCTCCATTCACCCGAGTTCTGATAGTGCCATCTTCGCTACATGCAGTTCAAAGCTATCATTATTAGGTCATGGACCACATGGAAAGCAAGTTGTTGATTTCCTGATGAAGGAACATGGGGATGATGGGGTTCGCGAATTTTGTCAAAGGTGGAGACAAGTATTTGTTGAAGCCATTCATCCTCGTTTTTTACCTGCAGGCTGGGATGTGACGCACAGGTATATTGCATTTCTGCATCTTTGATTAGAATTTTATGCTTCTTGTCTATGTTGTTATAGCGGTGAAAATACAAAATTGCGGTCGGGACCGATATTTGAAATAGCGGCTATAGCGGTCTAAAAATAGCGGTTCATATAATATTTCTTAGAATTATATATAATTATATATATAATATGCCTACATAAACATATCATCTGCAAAATAGGAAAAGTGTTTATAAATGAGCTAATCACAAGCAACAGGTTCAACATCTGAGTCAACATCATCTAACACGTTCACTTCTTCGTTTAGGCTAGCTTCCTACTCTTCCCCTTCTCCCCCTTCATCTCCAACGTGATCATCATCATCATCATCATCCCTCTAACGCTCCCTTAACAGAAGCCTAGTTCTTAAAAGCCCCAAAAAAGCCTTGACTAACTTAACATAAGCTAGTTAATATCGAAAGCCAAGACTGAAAATAAAGCCCAAACCCACCAAAACTTGCATTAATATCGAACGAAATTTACACTAAATATCGGTCAAAATTGCAGTAAATTGCGCCGCTAATTGCGGTACCGCAATTTGACCACTGATATTTTGCAAAGGCCCACAATCCGAGATATTGCCGCAATAGCGCCTCAATTAACAGCATAGCTCCTTGTTCATTTTAACGTACGAATCCAAGAATAATAACTAAAGTGAAGGCATGAATGATAGGCTCTCTAGAAATGTGCTAAACGATACAACCTCCATCCCCAAATAAATTTTTAAAATAAAAAATGCACAAAGGTTTAAGAATATGTAATCGTTGCACTTCATAATTAACCAAATGATAATTTTACCATTAGTCCGTTAATGATAGAGGGAGTAATTAATTAATTTCTCCATCTTGCTTTGTCTCATAATTGAAGGATGGAATGGGAAAGTAGGCACTTTTTGAAAGTGGACACTAATTTTGGGAACAAGCTAAAATAGAAATGTGGACGCTTATTTTGGGTGGAGGAAGTACAATGCAAATATGTTGACTTAAAGCGCATCATATGATTAGCAGGATGTTAGGAGATGGTAGTGACAGGAGTATTTCAATTAAGTTTGAGCACAATTTACATGGATTGCAAGTAGATGTAGATGTCATAACTATATCTAGAATTCTAGACAAGTATTACTTTTGGATTTTGAGTGCATCTAGTTTGGCTGAAGAACCAGCTAAGGGAATAGAAGACTCGCAATGGACGCTTCCTCTATTTCTGCTTTCACTAATAAGTTAATTATGAAAAGTTGTGATGAAAATACGATAACATAATGTTTAAAACCCGATCTGACCATATCACACGGATGAAGAAAACTGATTGTATTGACTTGAATGAATAGGGATACATCACACATCTATTTATACTAGACTAACACACATCTAACTAAAAGAGAAATTACAATAACACCCTTAAACTCAAATAGACCCTGGCCAACTTATTGAACCTTTTCCACCTGATAACGAAACAGACCAGGTCAATCTTGAGAAACAATGTTGCGAACCTGATCATCTAGAGAGTGATTTCCTGATTCACCCAATGGTTTAGAAAAATTGAAGTTATTTGTAACTTTGTTCTACCAGTGGTTATATATATGTGTGTGTGTATACATATGCATATACCTATATATTGTATTATACACATTTATGTTTACATACATAGGGCCGATTCATGTGAGAACCAAATTTTTTTTTTAGAACCGTTAAAACCTGTACATTCATTGATACATATACACTAATGAATTTCAGTGAGTATATGCATCAATGCATATATGCTTGCATACATAATACGTGTTGATGAATATATTTATTGACAGAGTACATAATTTGATGGTGTAAATGTATTAATGAATATACAAGTTTTCAATTTTTTGTGGTTCTCACATGAATCTAAGCCTATATATACATATATAAGCGGGAGGTTCCAATAAGAAGGCTAAATATCGTGAGAATGCAAAAAGTGAAGGTTCATATGTAAATCTATGAAAAAAATCCATTTGACAATGCGTATATGAACCCATATGAATAATCTGGAAGATCAGTTCACATATGTATTTGTTCAAATAGATTTTTTCAATGATTCATATATGGACCTTATCTTCTTACCCTCTCACAATATTTAGCCTTCTTATTTGATATATATATATATATATATATATATATAGGGGAGCGTTCAAATAAAAACCACCTAATTTGTACAAACCATACAAACTTCATTCAACTAATCATAATTTTTCATTTTGTTCATTTTTTTGTAATTATGAGAGGTTGATTAATCATTTTTATTGTGGATGATGTTAATCATGGATATTATCATCTTCATTATTTTAATTTTAGAGAAATACATGAAACAGTTTCATTAATTTTAGAGAAATACATGAAACAGTTTCATTAAGTAGTATATGAAACAATTTCATAACCATATATGAAACAACTTCATCAAAAAAAGTATTATATGAAACAATTTCACAAGATTAAACAATTTCATGAAAAAATTTCATAAGATTAAACAATGAAATCGACAAATGAGAGTAGTTTTTACGGTTTTTACAAATTGGAGTGGTTTTCATTTGATCGCTCCTCTATATATATATATATATATATATATATAATGTTTGTGGAGCCTCTAGTAGACTTGGGATCATGTGAGACTAACCTGTTTTCGTGAGACCCGTGAGACCACTTTTTTACACTTGAAACTTCACAATAACATGAAGGTAACCTTCACAATGTTTTTGCTGTGAAGGTTCAGATTTTTTTTACCTTCATAGTGTTTTCGCTATGAAGTTTCAAGTGTAAAAATGTGGTCTCATGAAAACAGACTGGTCTCACATGAACCCAACCCGCCTCTAGTATTGAAGCATTTATAGAAATTTCCAAGCTGTTATGTTTCATTAGTATTTAAACAATGCATCTATTACATAATTTTACCATCACATGTCCATAGCAGTTCAACCATACCCAACCTCTGTGTGAGATATACCCGGCTTGTTTGGTTTTATTGAGTAATTACCGGATGAAACATAATGGTAGAAACATATTGTTGGTACTGAAGTTTTGTTTTCTGAAAAAGGATATGACTGGACGATTTTTTGCCAGTGGTAGAAGAGAGTTTGGGGAGTTCAGCGTGTATAATCCTGCAAATAAGGCCCCAACACCTGCTACTGCTGCTAAGGATTAAGGAGATCATCCGAAGAAGGTGATGTTGTAGTTTCGTTCGTGTATGTTTCCGGTTTGTTATTGATTCAGAAAACATAGGGGCGTCTTTCGTTGTTTGTTTGTATCGTTGCATCATTTAATAGGTAAATAACAAGAATCACACTAGACGTTTTAGGTCTGACTCTTTTTTAGTAACAATTTTTCTCTTTAGTGAAATCAAGTACATTGAGATCCTCTTCGTTCAACAAGACGACACGATAGTCTTGTTTTTCTCTTGGTAGACTCTCTTTTGGGTTATAGAAGACACCGAAATAAGTTGTCTTGTTTAGGCTTTCACCGTTCTCATTATTTTATCGGGTTCTTGTAATAGCGAAAAGATGTAGTTGAGTTTAAGAGAGAATTCAGTCGTCGTGTTGGAATTATTTGTCATTGTATCTCGGAGATAGACATTTATAAGTCACTACAACATAAGATATGGCGAATTTGTCTTAAAGAAACTACGTTCTTTACTGGGCAAGCTTTTATAGGCAAGAGTCACGAGCTTCACTTATCCTATCAAGTAATATTCTTGACAATCAAAATGGATTGTTGGTAAGCGTCTTTTGCTTTGTAAACGCTTACCAGGTAAAATTCTTGGTCCTTGTCATTCTCACTCCTGATCTTACTTAGTAATAGCTTGATCAACGGGCCCCTCATCAACGATCTCCACCATTTGCGATTTCCGATATTCATTGATAATTGGTCCTATCCAATTTATTGTTATCAAATATGTTTGACCTTTTATAGTGAGATATATTCAACATCATTTCTGTTAGATATACCTATACATACACCCAAGGTATAAGAAATAAACGACCCAACACATTAGTTGGCTTGCATTGTTTTCAGGTTTTTATGAATTTTGTAGCATGTGGCATCTTTTTTGGGTGATTATGGGCTTTCGGACCAGCTTGCACACACTGACTAATCCCCATACGACCACCATCATTTACCTTATGAAGTAACATTCCCAACTATTAAAATGGATTGATGGTAAACGTTTATAACCCTGTAAACGCTTACCAGATAAGAGTCATCACCCTCACTTACTGGATAAGACTCTCGATCCTTACCTTCCTTCTTACTGTGTAAGATTCTCGGTCATTGTTATAGTCATCCAGTAAGGTAATTGAACCGGTAAGCACTTATCAAGGTAAGTTTTTAATAAACATCCCCTGAAACTAGATGTTACACGAAAACTATTTACATAGAATGAATTATTATTATTATTCATGTCACATCCCACTTGAGTTACAACTATTCCTTCATTCTTTTAACAAGACTAGTATCATTTAATTTGTATATGTACCCTCTACACTTAACCATCTCCTTATATGTGTCCATTAATCTACACAGATAGCTTATCTATACAAAACTTGATAGAAACTCAACCGGACAGCTACATAGTCACATGTACATACTATAACGATGCGATCCTGCTACACACCGTCTTTGACGTCCTGTCTTTAAATCCAACAATGTATCGACAGAATAATTTCAAGCAACAACTATAAGATACATGCTATAAATTTTTGTAGAAATCTGGGAATATTTTCTATGCTATGTCGAGTTGAGCCACTTTTAAAGTGAGTTGTAAACTTATTTTTCTCATATGAATATGTTCATTTAAGAACCATGAATATTTATAAAAAAACAGTGATATATGTATGTGTGCATTGATTATGATTCATTAATTATGATCAATACTTTATATTTTGAAATCACATATTCTGTCAAATTAAATGAACGGTTGAGATTGAGTTGTATTGATTGTTCAAATGTAAAGGATTACATAATAACTCACTTCTCTCTCTTTATATATATATATATATATATATATATAAGAAATTTGACGGCGTTGAAGTAGGGAGAGTATGTGCAGCGTTTGACGGTGTTGAAGTAGGGAAAATATGTGCAACGGAATCTTTTTTTTTTATAGTAAGGGATATGATATGAGGTACTTGAAAGGAAAGGGAAGAGTAAAAATAATTTAGAGAGATAGAGAGAAGGGGTTTAGTGACTCATAGGATTTTGAAGGCTATAATTTTTATTGCTTCGTTTCCATTGATTTACAATGGATTCGAATGAAGGTATTTATAGACCTTCAATGTTATCTCTATGATTACAATCGGACAATTCTATCACTAATTCTAATGACAAATGTCACCTAACTTTATCTTTAAGTTAAAGGAAACAAATACAAATTAAACATATGTAAGATCTAAGAAACCAAARGTYAAAAAGCCTATAAAGACTAGTATGTTAAAGTCTAAAAGAAAACAGAAAATATGTCGGATGGAATCGTCATTGCTTTCGTCAGCTTTTCTAAATATCTATATGTGTACTGTCGACTGATACTGGTGATGATGGATCTATATACGGATTTGAATCTGGAAATTCTCTGTTGTTGACATCTATTGGGCATATATGACTTTCTCCGATAAACGGCAAATACATATCCCAATTATAATGTGACCAAATCTGTAGGTAGTGTCCTTCAGCAAGCAACTTGTAATTATTCCATGTGAATGATACAGGTAGCTTGGGTGTATATATATATATATATATATATATATATATATGAGAAAAAAAAAGGTTTATTTACAAGTTGCAAATATTTTGAGAAAAAGTAAACTAATGCTATTGACGCCACAAGTCGTTATTTAATTCTTCAAATGGCAATGTTGAAAGGATTGTTGGTCTTCTTTGTTATGAATGTAACGAGCTGATTGCAAGGATATAGATCTCATTCAGTTTCCATGGCCTAGTCGAGGGGGTCGCCTTGTTGAAGGCCACACTTTGGAATAATGAGACCAACAATCTAATCGTTAATGCGACAGAGTACTTGACCAAAATTACACATATCGTTATCGTGTTTACCTATTGAGTCGAGAAGCCTAGTTTTCTAACATCACTTATCGCAAGTAGTTTCAGTCCAATTTGTCACAAGACTTATTGATATCTATTTTCAAGGTCATCTCTCATTTTATCTTTCTGGTATTTCTCTTCATGTTGTGTGATACGCACTAATTATGTAGTGCCAAGATACTTTTTTCTTCTCATTTAGATAGGTTCTTTTCCATTTAAATCTCAACCTTGAGTCAGCTTACTTCATTATTTTCTACTTCTTTGTTTATGGAGCTAGAGATGATGATATACCCATTTTACTCTTTTAAGTAAGGCTAATATGGACTTTTGGACAAGATTGGTTTAGTAGATCTCATGCTGCAGCATTTGTGTAGCAACAAGCTGGTAGATAGAATCGAATGGCTAAAGAGAAGAATGGTTTTGGACAAACTTGGTGGTTCGTGTAAGACATGTTTTAAGATTTCTGATATAAATTGAAAACTGGAACTAGTTGTCAAATTGGTTGTCTAAGTGGTACGTTAAAGTCTTCTTACTTTTGACATAGTTGTACTTGTTAGCAAACTTTGGCTCCAAGGTTGTGGTTATTTACTCTTTTGTCAAGGCTCCTAGTTTAGTATAAATATGGGGTTTGAGTTAATCTTTTGGTAAGTATTCCAAGCCATTCCAGTTGTACAGAACTGAATTTCTCTCCTCTAAGCTTTTGTTTAATTGTCTTTTTTAATTTTAGTTTTAGTATATATCGTTGAAGGGTATTATGAAGTTCCACAACATTTCTGTAACATTCTAGCTTTCCTTTAATTTATTACGCTTTCCATCTTCACACTTCGTACTTAGATACAATCATTTACTTTCCGTCATTTAATTTCATGTATTTACTTACTGTAATTTACATTTCTTGCAATTTTCTTGCCATCATGAGTAGCTAAATCTCTTAGCCTGAGTGTGAGGCGGAAAGGTGAGTTCGTAGATCAAAAGAAAGTAGATCATTTTATGTAACAACAATGTTTTATTATTTCATTTCAAGTTTTATAAAAGCAAAGACACTTCTCGACAAGTTGATCACTGTAAAGTGTTAAAGTGTCGTGGACTCTAAGTTGAGCCATCGATTATACGTCAATTTAGATAACATGAGAAATAGACTTGAGAGAGCTGCTGATAAAAAAATTTGTTATCTATATTTTCCAAATTGGTTAATTCTCGACAGGTTGATCACTTTGAAGTGTTAAAGTGGAATGGACTCAGAAATGAACTATTCAGAACACCTCAACTTGAATGATATAGGAATCCGCACGAAAGAGTGATTTTTAACAAAAAAAATTGTTTATCCATATATTTTGAGGACAACATTTGTCACTTTCACTAGTCCAAATACGACATAGAGATATGAGTTGAAAACCATAATATCAATGTAATGGTGAAGTCCAAGAGGAATATCCTCAAAATAAATGGTGAAAGTAGTTGTTATGCTGCTACATTTTGACAACATTGGTCCATTGGAAATTGTATTTACATGTCATCCTAAGTCTTACACTCTGCTTTATTGTTTGTTAATTTCATCAAGTAATAACTCAGCAAATCAAAGTCTTCAAAACCGTCATCTGAAAGCATTTATTTCAGAGTTACTTTTATTAAACTTTTACTACAATCTTTGTGGACGATACTCGGTACTTGTATCGTTTTATTACTTGAAAGACGATATCACGACTAACTGTATACTTGTTTTTTTGTCCTGATTACTTAGTTTGTAGGCGTGTAAAAAGCTCCTGCCACTGTGCAACAACTAAAAAGCTAGAATAATGCTACCCATTATTGTCAACCTTCCTTCAAAGAAGGTAGATTGGGTTTCAAATATAAATCTAGAAAGAACACCTCTGAGGTGATTTGCTAGTACATTTATTGTATAGAGCTATTGCTTGTAAGTCTTTAATTGTTAACGGTTCATTGCATTTCGGAATAAGGCTGATAATTGTACCATTTATGCCCATGTGGAGCATCCCTTGACGTAGCGAGCTGACACACCCTTGGAATTAACACTTCATATTCTAAGATTGACCATACCTTTTGAAAAAAAAAAATCTTAAGTTAAACCCGTGAGGTCCTGGGGCTTTATCGGGGTGCATTCGATATACCGCATCCTTGACCTCCTGTTTCGCGAACAAGGCAACCGACATAGAATTGTCCATGTCAAACACCTTTAAGTGTCATGCATGCTCGATTACTCTTATTGGGGAACGTTTGCTACTCGAGAAAAGGTATGTGAAGTAATCCATGGCACTGTCACAGATCTCCTTATTCTTCGCAACCAATTGATTTCCTTGTTTTTTTTTG